AAAGAACGCGACCAGAATATGCCATATGTAATCATATGTCGTTTGTCAGCACTCAAATGCACACAAATCCTATTGGTTGCGGTTGTGTTTGTTGACTCACAACTGTTTCTCCGTGTTGTTCGCGCAGTGCGAACCAGATGAGACAGTCCGACCGTCGTTTGCACCCACAGGCCAGTCGTCCTGAATCGGACCCAGGTCAGACAGCCCATCCAAAGGCGAGATGGACGTGTTGTGGTCGCGCGTGACGAGTGAAAGCGCCCTTGGTCACACAAAGGCGTTTGATCATGAGTTTGCTCAAATGCAGGGTTGTCAACCCTCAAAACATGTCGTTGTGTTGGAATTTGTTTGAATTTTCCGGAGGGAAGGCAGACCAGGCATGTTGCATGTTGTTCTTTGTTGCATTTCACACAAATGAGAGTATTGTGTTTTGCATCGAACTACAAAGTAAGAGAACTGTCAGTGGTTTTAATGCTTGCCAGCTCGTGCGCATGAAACGCGAGGATTCCTGACCATTTTGGGTACTCTTACTATGGAGCACGGTAGTGTGCGCGATGCATTTATCCCGGATGTTTGTGCATACAGGGTCATGGTTTGTTCTGTTTTTGCAATACAGGGTCATCGTTTCTTCGTACAGGAGAGTTTAATCAGACTCTTGATTAACAACCCCCCCATTTGCCTTGTAAAACTTCTTCATATGCAATTCTTTGCACCATTCCCACTCCGACTGCTGACAGGACGGAATCAACAGACTTTGGGGAAGGCCGAAAAAGCCCTCGTGTTTGCAGTTGTCTTGCTTCAAGTATATTCTGTACGGTTACGTTATATATATACAATATGTTTGAGGATTCTATTGTTGATTGATCACCAACCAGTACTGGTACTAAGTACTTGTCCAGAAGCTGTTGGATCTACTGGTTTGGCCGACACTTCAAGCTTGAAAACCCCTGTAGCTGGGTTCCATTTCTAGCCCAAGGTTGGACATTGGAACCCTGTTGCGGTGGTGACTTTGACTCATGTCTTGAAAAGCTCCACTGACAGGCACAGACCTCGGCAGCTGAAATGCCTTCTCCTCGCACAGGTGCATGAGACCCTGGAAATTTTAGGGGAATAGGATTCGGTGGCACTTGCTCGTTGCGCATTTGCAAGGTTCAACATTGCTTCAAACTTTAATGTACACATGGTTCAAACCTAGAGATTGGAAAAGGCAGTGCAGGCCTACGTCGGATATTGTATACTGAACATTCTGGTGCCGCACTCACATTGCCGCAGGTGGTACACCGTCCGCCACCACAGCAAGAGCAAGAACACCACCGCGCACTGAACAAGCTTTGAGCTTAAAATGAGGGAGAATGAAGCAACCACTATTTGGGGCAGCGGGCACCTTTAGTGAATCTAGAATCCAGTACATTCACTTTTGGACGAACATTGGTGTGGCTGAAATTCAATCCCTGCACGGATATGTCCTTTCCTGCCATACGCCGTAGATGGATACCTAGATTGATAGACATTGTGTCACAGTGTCAGTCAAGAATCAATAGAGGCTATACCTGCTCAAGCTCATCCCATCCCTTCATTGCCACCGAAAAGCTTCGTGCAACAAGTTGTTCTTGGGGTGTTGAGGGCGCTTGTTCCTGGGTACTGAACTGTCGGTCATTGCTGTCTCGCCAAAGAGACCAGGGTTAAAAGAGACCCGTCTGGCAAGTGTCATGTCGACCTCAACTTTTAATTTCTTGGAAAGCTCAGGTGATAGCAACTCCAGCTGCTGAACCCTCTTCCGAACGCAAAGGCATGTATTCACCAGCTTTGACATGCCGGGTACATCCAGGTACATGAAAATTATCTTGCTTCTATATTTAAAGTGTGCTGTGGTTCAGACATGGTATAGCCATGCAACATTATCCGGTTCAGCCATATAGTATAGCTCTAATATATATATATATCCAATATGATTCTGACAGTGCAATGCAGACTTTGAGATTGTTATTGAATCGCCGGAAGGTGCACAGCCATGCAGCAGCCAGAGGGCCCGAACGCCACCGCGCAGCGAGCAAGTTTGGAGCTCAGATTTGGGAGAGCAGACAGTGCAGATATATAAGATACACACAAGACATAGAGAAGGATCCAGGATTCCAGGATGAGTATAGAAAACAACATGCTGAACGGTGGCGTTTCACTGCTGAACATTGGTTGTAGCGTCGCGACTGCGGCCGCGTCGCGCTGACTCTGCGTCCGTGTCTTCAAGGCTCGCCCAACGAAGAGCCTTGGAGGATCTGCACGTCGCTCTTGAGCTGTATCCCATTTTTTGGATACAAACCATATTGGATCATAATTGGATCACAATGTGTGTATGAATCAATGCGGGAAGCCTCCCAGTTCCACCGCCCATCATATCATTGTGCTTGCAACATCTTGCAACTATTTTTTCTATTAGGTTGGAGGCCATTGCTTCTAGGTTTACTTAATCATGTGTACTTTTCCTCTACATTTGTTTCAATGGATGTCTCCATGTCTCGCATCTTTGGAACAGGAACCCCAAGAGCGAGGACACCGCCTTCACAGCCAGCAAAGGCCTTTCTTGCAGCATGTGCAGCGAATAAGGTGGTCATGTCGAGTCTTGAAGAAGTGCGTACTGTACAGTGAAGCATATGGGAAACATCAATGATAATCATCATGGATGAAGGATATGTGAGTATGTATGTTGAAAGGGAGACCCCCAACCAATGTAACCAATGGGCTTTGTTCTATTTTCCTTCTTCCAGGAGGTCTTTGGGAGGTCTCCCTGTTTTAATACATACCCATATGTCAATTTTTCTAAGCTGTGATCACAGACAAGGAATCTTGTGCTTCAAGCAACAATCAGGAGTAGTGGCCTTGTCGAGTGGGCTGAAGGTGGTCACTCCAAGCAGGACACGAGTGGAGCCCAAAGCAGGCGGGAATTTCAAAGTTCTATCAGTCATATCATTCATGATCTTTCCAGATTGTGCTTGTTGTACGGTGGCTCCATCATGTTTTGTGATGGGATGTCGAAAGAGAATCCTGTATACTTATCCAGCCGCAAATTTTCCAACACCATCCTGAACTTACTTTTGACATGTTTTGATGTGCAAGGTGCTTATTAGACGGAGCGGACACTTGCTACCATTTGCCCGTTGGCGAATCTGGTGTCTCCCAACCGGGGAGCCCCCGACAGAGTGAGGCCTTCCACAACAGGAGGACGACCAAAACAACGACCGCCGGTGCCACGGTGCCGCTGCAGGTGCCGCTCGCCCCAGAACTCCGCCGCCCAAACGGGCTGTAACACCACCCAAGCGCGATCGAACACCCTCAAAGGCGCGATCTGAGAGTTGGCGCAGCGATGCTGTCACTTTATCATTGGGACACGATTGACAGCGTGACGTGTCGTGTTTTTGTTTCACTTTACACATGTTTGCCACTGTTGTTTTCTGATGTCTTTTGAGCTATGAGGGTTTTGGTATGTGTCTCGTTCATGTTTTTTTACATGAACTAGTGAGTCTTTGCATTGAGAACATGCGACATCCTGTGTCAAGCTTGCTTTGATTCCGATATATCCAAGGACATCCATGCAGTCACTTTTGTGAGCCTTGCTGTGTTGCTGTTGGTTCCAAGCCCTTTCAGGGAGCTCAACAAGTCGCTCATGGTGCGCAGTTGGGCTCCAAGATGTACTTTCATCCTAATTCCATATCACTAATATACCTACACCTTTGAACCTTTTTTCATTGGTTTCTAAACCAGACCGGAACAGGTGGAAAAAGGATATATAACTTAACCGTTAGGTCCAGCAAAACAGGTCAGGGGTCAGTATATGACTCCAGGATGTTCATTTCATCACATTCCATCACATTCCATCAATTCCATTCGCCTGCCATATCATGTTTGCAGAGTTCATGCCCTTCAAGCCGTCCCTTTGGCGACTTCGAGGTCGGAGCCTTTGCGACCTGAGCGTAAAGCGATGTCGAAGAGCTCCGCCATCCGAACGGGCGCTTGGCCATGACGGAGTGGCAGACTGGTTCACGGCCGGTGGCAGCGGTGCGGTTGGACTTGAGGAGGATGTGGCCAAGGAGCGTTGAAAGCTACTTGTTGAATCACGGCCTTATATATATGTTATATGTCCTATGACTTATATGGCCTTCATCAGCCTCTTGAATGAAACACCATTCTTGGCGTTGACTTTTTGAACTGTCAGAAGGCAAGAAGAAGATGAAGCTAGACATGAGGATCTGAAATTATTCTTTGGGGTGTGCAAGTTTCAGGAAGATATGCCTCTCAGGGTTCTGCAGTTGTACCTTCAAGCCTGAAGTGGTATTCCCCAAACATGCGCAACACTGCTCCTTGTGTGAGGGTATGTACGGGAAGTTCGGAACATGATGAAAGCAGCCAGTCCGGGCAAAGCAGAAATGTTGGCGCAGGTAGTTAGTCTTTGAGTCGACCAACGGTCCCCAAACAGCACACGCCACCGAACGAAGATGACTGCTGGTCCGGAGAGCATCCCCAGCTCCGCGGGTCTTCGGGGCCATGCCGCCGACGCGAAAAGGACGACCGTGTGTCATTCTTTCGTCGAGAAAAAGGGCGGCCGATGCTCGTAGCAGCTTGGAGGGTCGCAGCCAATCACGTTCTCGCAGTTTTTTCCAGTTCTCGGGACGAGGTGACAGTCTGACGAAAGAAAAACAAAGTAAGGAAGTGATCTGTGATACACACTTCTCACTGACACTGACCAGTTTTTCTGGTTGATGGCCCTTTAATATAGACTGTTGATCAATAAACCCTCCAATTAATTCAATTAACTGAGTTCACATCCCCATATATGGCATATCAATCAACCACAAACAGTTTTGGAAGTTGACATATGTTCACAACGGAGGTTCCTAGTTCCTCGTTGGTTTCACAGGAGTTTTATTGGAGTGTGTTATCACTCTTGTTTGACGTTCAACATCCTATTCTGGCGGCATTGTTTGAGAAACACTCGGAGACTGGTGGTCACTGTTTGATGTAGGAGTCCTGATATGTCCTGATGCACTTGCAGATTGATTTGGATATTTTTTGTGGGAAGCTGCTTTGCAGAGATTGGAGTTTTTGGGCAGCAGTTTGTTGTTCAAGGAGGGGGTGTCTTGCGAAATAGCAAGTCCAGAGCCCATGTTCTAAGTATGCCAGGACCTGAGAACCCGTGTGTTTCTGCCATGAAACGCATCCAAAGCTGCGCATGTCCCTACTACGAGGAAGCATCACAAGAGTTATGTCAGCCAGCCTGAAAGTTCGCTTCTAAACGTTGTTTGGTGCCGGGAAGAGTGTTTTGAGACATCCAAACAGTCCATTTCCGCCCGTTTCCCGAGCTATTTTTGGACCAATATCAGACACCTATCCAGAAGCTGTTGATAGAGTTTGATCTCAGAGTTAGTGCCATCTCTCCCATTTCGGACGCAGCATGCCGTTCATGGCTGAGCCACTTCAGTCTCACTTGTTTCAGTAGTAATTCCTTCCATAATGATTGTTCGCGATGGTCGGGTTAGTACATTCCCAGAGAATACCTTTGTGCAGCTGTTTAGGTTTGGAGAAGGCAATAATTAGATGCAAAGTCCCATCAACCCTTGAACTGTCAAAGGTTTATTGTTGTTGGGGTAGTCAAACGAAGCGCATTTTGTGACGACAACACCACATGCATTGGGATTGCTTGACATGTTGCTTCCAGGGACTATATTTAACAAAAACATGTCGCGTATTTCTCCAGGTCTCGCTACTTAAAGGCTTAGAACAAAAATATACAAAAACCACATCTATCAAACCATGCGACAGTGCGACCCTAGCTCCGCAAGTTCCAAGTTGCTCCAAGGTCTTTGACTTTCCCAGCTCCCCTTCCCAAAGGGACGAGCTGCTTCGTACTCCTTCTCGTCCCGCTGGTCTTCCGTGTCACGCCGGCCGGTCACGTTCGGCTGGGACCGAACGGTCAGGTCGTGGTCGGTGGCGGAGCCAAGCTTTAGCTCTGGGAGTCTGGAACCACAGACGGCCGTCGAAATCGCTGGAGGGTTTGGATCGGCCGAGTCCTGGCTGAGTCCAAGCCTAGACTTAGGGTCCGTCCTATCTTACCTGTAAGAGTCAGTAAACAATTGTCACTATTATTTTAACAAGGCCTTTACTAACCATCATCATCCACTGTTACAGGTAATAGGATAGACCCAAACTATGCCAATACTGTAGACATTTGGATTGGGAGGCTGTTGTTTGGATTGGGTGGGTGGATGCGTGGATCATGCCAATGGTAGAGGTCGTGTATTAACGGTTCCAAGATGATTCCTTTTTGAGGTAAGATTAGTATGTCAGAACTGTAAGGCGATGATGTGTCGAAGTGGCTGTGTTTTTTTGTTGTCAGAGGAGAGGCAGGCAAAGAAAAGATAAGAAAAGACTACTGTGGAAAGATCAGCATGGTGACCACTCTCCAAAAGAGCACCCGTGTTGCACTGAGAATTTGCCTTTTCAACCAGGGCAGGGATGTGCTGTGCTGCAACTTGCAGAAAGGACACTGATGACAACTGAAGTTGCAAGCAAGCTGAAAAGGCTGTCAGTCACAATCCAAAAGCATGCTGACCGGCCTGTACCTGAGCAGCTCAGAATCAGAGGACCCAGGACAACTTTTGATGTTCTGTCATCAACTAACTTGTTAGTCATACGAGCCATACACATCACTTGGGTCCGTCCTATTACCTGTAACAGTCAGTAAACAATTATTTGTTTTAAACAAGGCCTGCAACTGAACCATCATCATCCACTGGGCCCAGGTAGACTCGGATAGACCCAACACATCACAGTATCCTGGTTTTAGGAATAATATATAGTTACCTCGGATCCACCGCGCAATGATGTGTGCGTGCGTGCACTTGTTTGGATTGTATATGCCGTTTGACGCTGCTTCGATCCGTTTCGTTCCGAGCGTTTTGTGGTTCGGTCAATGCGACGTCTGCTAGGTCCTGAAAGCTGTGAGGATGGGCTAGAGGAGAGACCGGTCCATCCTTCGGAGCATCGATCTGAGTGTAGTGGAGCATCGATCGGCCGAGGTTGAACGGACTTACATAGGCTTATTATATAATGAGTATATATTATATAAGTTTGGTTGTTGTCGCTGTTGTTGTCGTTGTGGTTGTTGCTGTTGTGGTTGTGTTTATATGTTTGTTGTTGTTGCTGTTGTTGCTGTTGTGGTTGTTGTGGTTGTTGTGCGTGGTTGTGTTCTTTTTGTTGTTGGACCTTTTTCGCATCACTTGAGTTGGAGGTCCACCAGCGAAAGAATCCATACTGTACTGCAAAGTGAAGGTGAACTAGCCCTTAGGACGGCTTCACGAGCCCTTTGGACAATTTGTTTTGTGGATATGTTTGCTGCTATTGGCCATTATTGATTGTATTTGGTGCTAGCAAGCTGGTTTGGATATTCTTCCAACATGCGTTTACTTGGAGGTTCCAACTTCATGCCCGACCGGGAAGCTATGTGGAGCATTCACATGAAGTGTTGAATGAAATCCAAGATCGGTCCCTACTCCCAAACTTCACGTTTAGATACTTTTAGAATATTCTATATGTACTGTAGATTGGCATCAGTTCTGCATGCATGGCTGCATATTGCTTCAGTTCTGCGCTTTGAGACGCAAGCTACCTTTATGCTGCTGGTATCCTACGAAACCCTTGATCCGTACTTCAGGAGGTTGGAGAAGAGAGCCGCGGGACAATAGGCCAAGCAGCCGAGTTGGAGATTTCCTCACCCTAGTGATGAATCATGATGTATCCAATGTCATGCTGTCTAAAGTTGATGTTCCAATTTACCACCACGTGTTTTAATGATGTTCAACGCCCCAAATGTGCGGGCTGAAATTCAGGGCTGGTGTGTATTGAATTCTTTCAATAGAGATGAAAGAGTGCCCATGTGGCTGGCCATCCTGGCCTGGATTTCCACATGTACTTTGTGTGCGTTGTGCATCTCGCCAAAAGGGATACAGTATGGGTCGTGTATATTTAAATGGGGAGACCTCCCAGGTGTTCCGACCCCTTGGAAGGTTCGGAAAATAGACCGGTCTACCCATTCGGTCAGGGGGGTTTTCCTTTAAAAACACTCCAGACCCAGTCCTTCCAGAGCGGATCAGCACGTTCTGCCAGGTGACTTGGCCAAGATCCCAACAAGCGACACGCTGGTGATGGCCTCGAAAACGAAAGAGAGTGAGAGACAGAGACGGAGAGATGAGGAAAAAGAATAAAAGAAGAACAAACATCAACCAGGGGTCACATGTCGGGGTGGTGTTTGGTCCCTAAGTGAGTGGAGTAGCTGGGCACCCCGACTTCCTCCAATTTCGGCAGCCCGTCTTGTGACTCCAGAGTCAGTGAGCTGAAGCAAGCGCGGCCGGTCCAACCCCAGGTGATCACTCCTGAGGAGCTGAGGGACAAGTCGAAGACCGATGGAAAAGGCCCAGTGATGCACAAGGTGGTGATACCACCTCAAAGGCGTGCGAAAGATCACAACCGCAGCCCCTCGCGCGAGATGTCTCCGATTCTGAGGACGCGGCGCTCGCAGATCCCCTCCCGGCTCTTGAGCCCCATTGCGCTGTCCATGCCCAGTCGGGCCAGCCTTGGTGCCCAAAACCGCGCTGCACCACTCGCAGCGCGCACGATCAGTCCTCCACGGGAGTCGCCACAAAAGATTCCCTCACGCTTTGAAGCAAAAGATTCCCGTGCCCGTACACCTCCGGTACCAGATGTCAGGGATGTGAGAGATGCGCGAAGTCCCACTCGCATGGTCATGCGAATGTGGTCCCGTCCATCCAGGCACAGCATAGGCTCTTGCACCACGCCCTATGCCACACCGCCTGTGCCTAGCCGCTCGGCCAGTCAGGGAAGGCTTGAGCGACCCGAAAAGAGGGAACGCACGGTGAAAGTCGCGGTCACCGGTCGAAGCAGTCAGACAGGTCCAATGACTCAGAGTCATCCAGGAACTGACAAAGATGATGCAGGCCGGACTCAGCTGATGCATGCAGTGCGAGCAGGTGATTTGCAGAGGGTGACCAGCTTGTTGCGAGCCGGTTGCTGGGTGCATGACACGGATTCCTGTAAGTGTACAGCTTTGATGTATGCTGCCACATCCGGGCACGTTGCAATTGCGCACTGCTTAGTGGAACATGCTGCAAATGTCAATGCTCAAAGCCATGATAAGTGGACTCCATTAATTGCTGCTGCATACAATGGCCATGTGTCAATGGCAGATTTCCTGGTCTCCAGGGGGGCAGACGTGGAGTATGCCGATGAACGAGGATGGACTGCTTTGATGCATGTGGCCTTCAATGGACGCCAGGACATTGTGCGATGTTTGCTCCAGTATGGTGCACGAGTGGAGAGGGAAGATAAGGAAGGCCGAACGGCTCTGGTCTACGCGGCCTTCGGCGGGCATCTTGAGATTGTGAAATGCTTCTTGGCCTACGGCCGACTTCAATCTGGGAAATGGCATCTCGGTGGAGACGGTGCAGCTCAATTGGCAATGATGTTCGCAGCCGATAAGGCGTCAGCTGTACTTTGTCCAACAACTCTGCATTCTGCAAATATATTTGAAAGCGCTTGTTTTAAAGTTTAAATGTTTTCAGAACGAACAATCCAACATTGACATGTGCTCGAATGACCAACAATTGCTATTCGATGAATTTGATTCGATGTTATTTGCTTGGTTCTTGTTTGCCTTTTGTACTTTGTACCAGACAAATTATATAATTGAGCTTCCTTGTTTGAACCGAGCCAACGTTGGAGGGCCATGCTCACGTGGTGCAAGCCTTTTTGGATGCATCCTTGGCGTCCGCCCCTACGAAGCGTTCTGCGCTTGAGCTCGCCAATGCGAATGGTCATCATCAAGTGGCACACAGCTTAGATTTGTTTCCAGCGTGCTTCTTTGCGCATGCTTTCCAAGAGCTAGGCAGCTAGGACACGCAAGCCTTTGATTTGCTGGGTGACAAAACAGCACAACGAGTTTGATCATAGATATGGGATGTAATATGATGATGATAGGGGTGTGTATTAAAATAGGAAGACCTGCCAGGCCTTCCGACTTTCTGGGTTCGGTGAAGGGAAATAGACCAGTCTACTCAGGCGATCAGGGCGAGAAAGGGGGTCTCCTTATTTCCTACACACCCAGCATATCAAGCCTTTGTGAAATGAACTCATGAATGGCTGCTGCGGAGTTTTGAGGTTCAACTGCTCCAGAGTGACCAAGTCCAAGAAGGTGGCAGATGTGGTCATATTCACTTGGGCTTCGCAAAGCTTTGTGTCCAACTCTTCAGATCCAAGATCGCGTCAATAAACGCACTGAGACATGTTTGAGTCACTACAACAGTTGTTGCAGATCATACAGAGGTTGTTTCCATTGGAGCAATGGTGTGGTGTGGATTGAAATAGGGAGACTTATCAGGCAACGAACCCCCTAGACGAAGGAAAATAGACCAGTCTACCGCATTGGATCACAGGGTCTCCAGTGGGGTTTCCCTATTCTAACATATTATATATTCTAATATATTCTAGTGCAATCTCTACTTACACATCCGATTATCCGGTTGGTGCACCTGGTCACTGGTTCGCTTGACTGTCGGCAGGGGTGGCGAAGTGAGTTGAAAGCGGCCTGAAAAGCACGAGGCTAGAGCCTGACATGAATGAAGCAATTACATGTCCAACATGGCCATTGTACAAGTCCAGGGTGACTTAGATCCTCTGTCCGCAAAGTCCAAGGCATTTTTCAGGGTGAGATCAAGGCATGATGTGATCATTTTGAGGTTCTCATCAAAGCGAGACGCATCAAAGACAGATGTTTGATGCCTTTGGATTGGCCATGAGTGCCAACAAGGTCAATGCACAAGTCTGTTGGGATCAGACTTGTTGACTGTGAACTCTGGGGGGCAAAGGGTAGAAAAAAAGTGACAGGCCCAATTTTGATCAAGTTTGAAGTATCAAAGGATATCGAAAGAACAGCTTGACACATTGACAATCATTGTATTGTGTCGATCCAGTTTTAGCTTACACTATACAATCTGCAGTTACAGCACGTGTTTTTTTTGGCTATACGGCATATGAATAAATCGAAGTAGATATTCATTCATAAATTTACAAAGTCGATCTTTGTATGGCTCATTTAGTCATGGAGTCCATCTCGGTGGCTGCCAAGTTTGTGCAATCTTAGTCGGCATTGGGGATTGGGGGAATGGCCGCCGATTCGATCAGTTCGGTCCATTGACAGGTTGATGAGTGGGTAAGCCCTTGCAGCAGATAATATTTGCAGATGCAATCTCCAGTAATTTACACTCAGTTTGTTGGAGGCAACACCCAGCACTCTCGTGACACTTCACCTTGGCTCCAGCATAGCAACAGAGAAGCAGTTCAACTGCCAAATTCATACTCCGTCCATGGTGGCATGGCAGAGGGGTCGAAAAGGCCCTTGCAGTGGGTTTGCTGGGCATGCTATTTGCATGTCATTCTTGCGGAGCGACCATCCAAAGGCATGTTGGGAGTGCTAAGCACTCTTCAAGAGGAGACTTGACTTTGGCTGCAGTTTTGGTGGATCGCAGGGTAGCCACTCCGATTTCAATTCAAGCGGTATATTGCAACCTACAAGAGTTTCCACAGGTTTCAACATAATGTTCAACTAGTATCGAACATATCGAACACACCAGTTCATTGTCATGTGACACGGTGGTCTCTATTCTCTTTTGCATCCACCAATCCCAGGGTGGAACCGGTTCACTTCGGTTTGCGGAGCACGCGGTTCGAGCGGTTTCGGTTCGGTGGTCGGTTTGGGCAACCAGCGGTTTGGTCCGGTTTGTATGCGTCGGTTAGGTTCGCGGTGTGTGTGTGTGTGTGTCGATTCGTGATTCACGGCGGTTCCTGGAGCTGGTGGTTTTGTGATTGGAGAGGAACGAGTTTTAGAGGCTTCTCAGAGAGAAAATGCCAATCTCTTACTCTTCCCACCACTCCCTCCTGGCTCTACACACTCTTGCGGTAGGATTCAGCTGTGTTTGTGCTTTTAGGATGACTGGAGCTAGCCAAACCGCAATAGAATAAGCTGCAAAAAAGAGCCGTTTGGCCAGCCTGGCTAGAATGGGATGATAAAAGTACCCAGACAAAAGTTGTATATAGCTTAGTTTTCAAATATTTGTACGTCCCAGTTCGGAAGTGTAGCCCCCCTTTTAAATGCCTGAACGGTTTTGCACGTGCCTTTCCATAAACCATCTCCGAACCGCGTTCAAAGGGCGTTCACGCTACGTTCAAGTTGCGCAAAAGAAGGTGTGTACCCTGAAAAGTTGTCCAGGAAAACAAGTCCTGCCCAATCTTCCAACAGCATTACTTTATTGGATAAGGACAACAATAGTTGTCCCAGGGGTGCAACAGGTAGTCATTTTTGCTGGGGCCGACCCCAGAGTTCAGAGAAAATTGGTTCCTGATGTTGGACCCCATCATTTTACTGGGGTCATAATTTTAGCCACCATGTTGTTGTGAGTGATACAAGTGCCTGGAACAGTTGACAGGGAGCACGGGAACACTTGCTAAGGCTAAAATAGATTAAAATAGCGAAGGGCCGACTTGCAAACAGGGAGACAGCAGCAAAGGTCAGCGCCCAGATGCACCCAGCAAAGGTCTTCCTGTAGCACAGATTGCTCTTTGGTGGCTTGTCCGTAGCACTAACTGCTTTTTGGTTGCCTCTCCATAACACTGATTGCTCTTTTACAGGGGGCATTACCTGTTCTCAGCTCGGTGTCGGTGAGGTTTAGTTTCGGGGTTTGCGGTTTCGGTTCCTGGAAACCGTTTCGGTTTCAACCACGTAAGACTCCGGTTCGCTGGGGTGCCCGGTTCGGTTTGGCGCTTGGCGATTCCGGTTCACCGCGGTTCGGTTCACGGTTCCGGTTCGGTTCCAGAACCTCTCTGCAATCCTGTCATGGGCTCAGATTTTTGCAGTGGCCCTGTTCAGGAATCGCACAATTACAGCTGGGGCAACTGGACCTCAGATCCAGGACTTGGGGTGTGTGTGGGTAGCCTGAAACATGGTTTTGACATATGATGAGGTAAGTGATATTGGTTCCATCATGTTCCATCCACTTCGAACGTATGACAAACTTGTTCAAGGCAGGTGTTGTATTCCGGTGACCCCGTCGGTGGTCATCATCAAAGATTTGCACTACATACAGATCACTCCAGTCTCCACTGCTGACGCTGCAAAACCACATTTTCTTCAGGAATCGGGATGTATCAAACTATGGTTGATGGCCTTTGCTGACTGGTATCATAATCAAGGTAGACACGATCGATCATGCAACTGCCAACCTTGCACGAAGCACTCTTGACAAGCGCTCCGGGGGACGACTTAGCCCCAGGGTATTTGGGTTACGGCGACGGTATATAATGGAATTTGGATGCGTCACATAATGGCCCAACATAATGCCCGTGTCATTGCTGTACGCAGGCTTCTGAAAGAAGACCCTGCAAGATCCTGCACAAGAACATCATGTTTTAACAACCTGTCATTCAATATAGTAAGATTAGTAAGACACATAAATATATGCACACAGAATCAAACTGCAGCATGTAGGAAGGTAGTGCAGCGTAGTAATGGAATGTAGTGTATAATTACCGTATTTACCTTGCCACGAGTGTCATGATCGCAGTGAATGCACGAGTTGTTGTGCTCACCACCTTTTGGTTTCAAGCTCTAGTGTGTGGTCGCTCACGAGCGAGTGGGTGCCTGCCAGGTCTCTGGATACACCTGCCAGGGAACCTGGAGTATTTGAAGGAGCTCACCGTGGCAGAAGGTGGTTATTTGCAGCTCCATGAATCTTATGACGATGGTGAACGACAGGGCACCGCCTTATGCAGGAAAAAAGTTCAGCATTTTGACCATGTTGGATATCTCAACTGGATTCCACCTATCAGAGAGATGTCAAAGAAGGTGGAGTAGTGCCAACACCAGAGGCTTGCGCACAGGCAATCATGCGCAGGCGGGTCAGCTGGGCTGGATTCCCAAGAGCTGTTCACAACAGGAAAGAAGTTTCCAAGTTTCTTGCTTCGCACGGAGTTGAGATGTTCTATGCACCGTTGGAGATCCCGTCAGCCATCGGCAAGGTTGAACGACACCAAGCGATCCTGAAGGCAACTCTCAGGAAGACAATCCATGACACGGAAGCAGTTGGCAAGGATGCATTTGAGGTATGCCTTCACGAGCGCACGTCCGTGAAGAATCAGATGCAGAGAGTCCAAGGGTATTCTCCTGTGCACTGGGTCCTGAAACGAAATCCACGTATTCCTGGATCAATCACTGACATGGAGGAAGCTGGTAACCTGTGTATTTTTAAACCAAGTTACCACTTGCGTCATGCTTCTCGAACGGCTGCCCAGAAAGCTTTCGTTCATGTGGACACCAGTTCCCGTGTTGTAAGAGCACTCACCAGACATGCAGCAGTTCAGAACAAGAAGACATTTGTGGTTGGAGACCTGGTGGTCTACCGTCGAGACCCCCAAATGGTGGAACCATGTGACCCACTGCCTCGAGTGATTGGCGTTGATCCACATACAATGGTATTTGGTTGTTGCATGAAGGAGTGCCTGTTTTGTGTAGCGATGGAACATTCAGATCAGCCAATGAGAGTGAATCTTTGGCATACTTGACTCGCAACGGCATTCCAGTGCTCCGAGATGCAATCACTATATGAGAAAGCAGAAATACATTCGCATGATGGAGGGTGAGGCAAATCCCAAGCGAGGACAGAAGAGACAAGTTCAAGCAGAAGATAGGGCGGGCAAGTCTGCCCGATCATCTGCAAGTGCTGCACCTATGACGCCTGGTGGACTTGAAGGGGAAGATGCAGTCACGATGGCAACAATGAATGGCGAAGATTATTTTGGAGGGTCTCACAACAACATGCTATTCGGGTACACAGCAAGAAGCAGCACCACGAATACCATCCGATGCAAAACAGAGATGTGCCCGAAGGCTGTGGAGGAAGACATGACCAGGAAGATCTTTGACAGATGGACGCAGAGAGACCAGCGAGTCAATGTTGGGAGTGAGCAATGTTGATTCGCGGGCTTGGACAGGTTTCACCGTTTTCTCCCGGGTAACAGACCCGCTCGCCGCCGTGGTTGCTGCAGATGAATCTTTTGATTCTGCCTGATGGCTGATTACAAGGCTTTTGTCGCACGTGAAGAGGCCGCAACTCAGGAAAGAAATGTTTCAAGAACCTTGGTCTTCGACAAGTGCCCACCGGAGGCGCAAAAGCGCGTCTTCGAGGCACGCAAAGAAGAGTGGAAGAAACATCAGCATTTCAACGCCGCAATACTGGTGTTTGGTCAGCAACTTCAGCAACTGTTGGACGAAGGGCATCAACTCATACCGTCACAGTGGGTCGATGTCGAAAAAAATGCACATCTTCTGAACACAGAGAGATATGAACGCGCACATCACAGCAGGATGGTTGCCTGCGGCGACTATATGATCGTGATACAAAAGGTTCAGTGCGGTTGCGCTGACGTGAGTAGTGCCAGTCGAATCCCATGAGTAGACTTGCGCTCATGACGCAACAAAGGGGAGGCATTCCGTGTGATGACGTACCATCGGACGCCGCTTTGATCGCAAGACTGCCGATCTATGGAACCATTGACGCAAGCTGTGGTTTCTACCTACGCATGAATGGGGAGATCACGAGCGGAGGCCTAAAGTGCAGTAAGATCACCCCGGCTTTGTACTACTTGCGCAACCCCAAGGGAGAGTTGATTGGCGTGATCGCAACTCACGTTGACGATCTGCTTTACTGTTACCTTGATGAAGGCAAGAATTTAGGCAAGAGCACAATCGAGAACATCTTGAAGAAGTTCACCATCGGAAAGACTGAAGGTGGCAAGTTCCGTTACTGTGGACGACAGTTCGTACAGCGTGAGGATTTTTCAGTGAACGTTTCCACAAGGGAGGGCTGCAAGACAGTCAAGCCAATTGAGATCGATAAGAACCGAAAATTGACGGACAAGGTGACGGAAAAGGAACTCCCAAGCTTGAGAAGTGTTGTGGGAAGCCTTGCGTGAGTTGCCCGCTATGGCCGACCAGACTTGTGTTTTCGCGCGAATGAAATGCAGAGAGCAACCGGCGAAGACTTGAAGATGGCAAACAAAGTTATTGAAGTGGCACTCCAGGGAAGTGACCTTCAGATCACATTCAAGAATCGATTGGTAGTTTTGCAAATGAAGAAGGCTACAAGAGCCAACAGGGAAGGATCCTTTACTGTATTCGTCGAGCAACGCTACAAGCAGAAGCATATGCACTCCAGATGGCAGTTGAGCATGGAGATAGATTGAGGTGCCTGATCTGTGAACTGAAAGGTAGAAATTTGCGACGTGAAAAATTGGCACGAAGAGACCCAGAAGAAGATAGAGCACATGTACTTGACGGACTGCAGGTCATTGTCAGACCAAATATTGGCTGAAACAACAACACGGAAGGTGCAAGACAAGACTTGGCATTGAGCTTGCAGCCCTATATGGCAAGGTGTATGGACTGTGAATGGTGAGACGACGTCGAAAGTGTACAACCCATACGGAGACAACTTGAAGTGGATCAGGACAGCGAAACAGCTCGCAGACCCTTTCACAAAGAGCATGAAGCCTGACGACCTCCTGAAGACCTTCGACACAGGTCTCGTCGACATTGATGACAGCTCGCGTGAGAAAGGTCGCAAGAATGTTTCATGAAGACTTGCCACAATTCGGATGGAAAGACCAGGTTTCCATGGCCACGTGGAATAGAGTTGCAGGGACATACTGCTTTGTTGTACAAATGTTTGAGCTGAAGCCCCAACACACCTGAAGATAAGACAGGTGTGATTCTGAGCTGTTTCAACCATACCTTGTGGCCGTTTCGGCTTGGATCAGGCGCTTTGAGCTAGTTGGCACGCTGAAAAGGATTGCTCATGACTGCTCCAAGCTTGAAATTGATATAAGACAACGCAGTGGAAGATCACATCTCCGACCATGTAAATGCTCCGCTTTGGTAAAGCAAGTCACGCGCCCCTTTTTGCGCATATCAACCAGCAAGATCTTATGCACGCATACACAAACACAGAACCAAATTTGACCAGAGGTGGCCTTGCCGGCCCACCTATAGAATTGGACTTGCCAACTGGTTCGAAGGAGGCCGCTGTCCAATCTTTAGGGCTTTATACCCGTGTTCTTTGGTGCAGTGATGTGGTCAGACCATGCTTGATCTTCAGGATTTGATGATTCACTCGACAAAAGACATGAACCAGTTACACCGGGCGCTTCAGCTGCAGATCAGGCACATGAGTTTTTTGTTGATGACCAACTCCTGGATGAGGGATGCTTCAGCTGCCTGGATTGTCTGGCAAGATGCCGCAGATGACCCCCTTTCTATTTTGTTTTTTTGTTTGGTGTTTTCTCCTTGTCAAACGGCATCCAGGTGACAAGCGAAAATTGGGAGTTGAAGATGTGCTGCGCAGTTTGGGCGTCCAGTTCGAAGCGGGAGGACTGAACCATTGCCAGTCACAATCTCAAATCTTGATTTGAGGGAGACTCAATAGCATGCGCCCCACCAAAACAATCCCAGGGAGTTTGGCCTAGTAGCGTGCATTATTAGTATTACAATATATTCTATATACAGCAGTAGCAGTCACAGAAGCAATGGGATCAGGGAATCCCCTGCGCATTGTCAGTGCGGTTCAGGACTGGCGAGTTTGTAGTACCACTGTAGTGCGAGAAGTAGGTTGTGTCGGCTCCGGGCTGATATTTGGCGAATTTGTCGTACACCAAGCACCCAGACTACAAACATTCATTGTTTCACGCACTCATTTCTTGACTCAGCCACATGTTGATTCACGCGCTCCTTCACCCTTTCCTTTACGCACAGGTCAATGCTAGAATCTGCTAGAAGCACGCATGGTTTGGTTGTTTGATGCGATGCCAACATGAGCAGAGTCTTGCATGAACACCATGATGAAGTATCTCTGCGGCAGCTATACCGTCAGTGTACATTTCATTTTCATATGCCCGGTGTTCTACGGATAGATTATGATTTTGATTAGCCTCGTGAGCTACGCGCTCAAACATCTCGCGGCTGGGGTGAAGCCTGCAGACATGCCTTCAATATGTTTTAAACTCGCACAGTGTCACTAACTGTTGAGGTTCTGCTCAGAAGACATGCGACCCTTCGCTTTTCTCAGGGTTTGCAGTGTGTGTGTGTGTGTCCACCCCTGGACAAAGGGTTTCGACATGCAGGGGGGCATAGCGTGTTCAGATGACTACGCCCAACGAAGCTAGTCTGAACACGGGATACCAGGATTGGCCATCCTGGCGTACCTGCGCTGACGGAACTGTTGCTTAAGCTTTTCCACTTTCGGTTTGCTTCCATGGTCCTTCATGCTACTCCCCACAAACAGGTTTCCCACCACTCTGCAGCTACTGGACGCCGCTTCCACTTGCAAGCTGTCGGAAACATTGTTCAACAATACTTGTCAGCGGACTTTGCCACCTTGCGGTTCCATCGCCATCCTTCCCATCGTGGTAATTGAGTCACTGAATACAAGTGTCAGAGTGTGTTTCGCTCAGCCGTCCCACTCGGGTGCTGAGTGTGATCCCCGTCACAGGGGCGCCGCTTTTTGCATCGGAATTCAACAACCCCAACGTACCACTTCCACTGGACCTTCACCGGAAGTCACGGCCACCCCCATAGAATCAACTGATGCATTGGCCGCCGGGCCCAAAAACGGCATTGCTTCGACAGCCGCCGGGCTATAAAACGGTGCTCACCCCCCATGAGGCAGGTTCCCC